AACAGGTACGGCCAAACACAATCAATAAGAGTGCATCTAAATTCCAAAATCAATCTCCATAATAGTCTATGTGTTTCCTACTGCCAAAGGGGCCCTTTAGAGTAGTGAGAGAAGATCTTCACCCTGAAACCCACAGCGTCTCTCTTCAGCAGGAAGTAGCTAAGAGAATACGCCATCCCCTTTTCCTTATGAATCAGGGTGAAGTCTCTCTCAGGGAGCAGTGATAGGGAATGGCAAAAGACACACCGACAAAGGAGATTAATCAGAACTGACTTTGACAAGCACTGTGGCAATTGGACAATTAAAACAGACATTCAGATGGCGGGGAAGAAGAACAAACTGGGGAGGAGGGTAGAGAGAATGGTGCAGCAATGAAGGCATGAAAACCCAAAATCCCTGTAAATGTTCATTAAAAGTAATAAAATTTAATAAAAAAAAATACACACAAAAAAAAACAAAGCAACTAAAGCACTGTTCCATGAGGCAACAATAACAACAACATTCACTGTTGACGTCTTAAAACTGCATGAAAACAGAAGTACAATCAAATTGGCTTCTCTTCCCCATGAACCATCTTTAGCTGGACTACGGACAAGAGAAATGAAAGCTTTGGCAATGGCTTCCCCACCACATAAATAATAAGTGCTAACACTGCCCTTCTACAATGGATCCAGAAGGCTTTAAAACACTTCAAAGAGAAATCAAGAGTGTGTAGAAGACCAGGAGAAAGGAACCAGGTAGGGTCCATTAGCAATCTATACCATTCCTACTTCCCTCCGCATTAAAAAGCGGCCCAGGGATGAGCACAGGGAGGCAGCTGAGCCCGGGCAGATGCACACAATAGGCTTCATTTTTCACAAAGGCAGCAGCAAAAGGCCCAGACTCCTTTCTTTCTTTATGGTCTGCAGCCTTTTTCCATGCAAGACATGAACACATTGCTCAACGCACAGACTAATACTCACTGATAGGAAGAGGCTGGTTTAGCCAGTTCTGGTCACAGAGATACCTAATTTAGGCTATTCCTTGGTTGCCCCAGAGGATTTCCTTTTTAAAACGATTCATAAGGAAAATCTAACTAGAATATGCTTAAGAAACTTTTTTAGAAAGCGAGCAAAATTAAGTCTCTCTTATTCAGTTGGAACAAAAGATTGATGAAGGAAGTATGTGAGGACTCCAGAGGCAGTGAAAGAAGACAGCTCGGACTAGACAGTCTGGCTGAAATTTAAAGCCCTGATTTGAAATCTTTTTTTTTCCCTCCCCTTTCCAGCCAAAATACAGCTGAGAATCTTAAATTCATTTTAGCTGCAAGCCATGCCTTATTCCAAACAAAATCTCCTTTTTTCCAGGCTCTAAGCCTTGTAATTACGCTGTGTGGAACAGATCATCTCCCACTGCCAGATCCTGACAGAAATCTTACTAAAGCAGGCCTGGGTGAGTCAATGAGCTGGCTTTTTTTTTTCTTCTGAGGTGAATGGCCACTCTTCATAGATGAGGCAGAGACCAAACAAGGCCAATCAGGAAAATATATATGAACCAGAGCAGTGATTTCAGAATGAAGGTTACCCCACCAGCCCATCTTTTGTCAGTTCTCCTTATAAAGTTGTTTGTAAGAGAGCAAACCACTTTCAGAGAAAGCTGTTTGTTATTGCTTCTTTGTTTCATTTCATTTTCCTTAAATCAGAAAAAAAAACTGGCCCAAAAGACAAACAGGACAGTGCCAGGAAGAAGTTAACATCTTTTTTCCTCATGAGGCTTGGGCCCCAGAATCTAAACAGTCCCCACTAGCAGTCTGGTGTGGTTTTTTGTTTGGGGGTTTTTGTGTGTATGTGTACGGGGTTTTGTGTTTTTGGTTGTATTCTTCTCATTTCTCTCCAGAATTTGAAAAATGTTGAGCCGATTGTTCCGGAATGGAATGCATTCTGTACAAGAGACCAGTTATGTGGGAGGCTGAACCGAGATTCCAGTCTTGTGTACAAACATCAGCATTTTCGTCGTTCTCAACCAGAGGCCTAGAGTGGAGTGAGATGCCTGATGTTGGGGTCTGAGCAAGCTAGCCTGGAGTCTTAGAAGTGTGAGAACTTCTGAAAATACTTCTCCACCAGACTTTGTTGTTGCTACGTGTGTGAGCTCATCCTCCTTTAACCCACTCTACTCTGGTAAGTCCAGGTACCTAGTGGGTTAAGTGTTGGGCTGCTAACCTAAACGTAACCTAAAGGTTCAAATTCATCAATTGTTCCACAGGACAAAGATGGGCAGTCGGCTCCCATTAAGATTCACAGCCTCCGAAAGCCAATAGAGCATCTTTTATAAGTCAGAAATAACTTGATAGTGTAAGACTGAGCTTTAAATATAATAAAAAGGAAAGTGCTACATCCTCAGAGAAAGATTTTCTAGAAAGAACTGAGCCATTGTCTCACATGAGGATGCCTCATAGCAGCTTTAAATATAAAAAGGAACAAGGAGGGGGAAGAGGTGGGCAGGGAGAAAAGTGCAACAATGAATGAATGGAAATCCAAAGTCCCTGTAAATTTTCATTAAAATTAGTAATAATAATAATAAAATCAATAACAAACAAACAAAAAAGGAACAAGGAACACATGCCACATCTTCTGAAGGAAGATATTATGACAATTTGCCAGGTACCCTGTTTGAAGACAAGGAAGATCACATCTGGTTTTGAGTCCACGGTGCAAGTCTACAGTTAACTCTCACCAACACTGATATAATTTATTCCTCAGTGGCCACATACTAACCATATAGCAAAGGGTCAAGGAATTTCCGAAAGAAAATAGGAACTGCTCTCTTTAACCTGACTTTTCAGAGAAGGAGATGGATAATGAAGAAAAAGGAGAAAATTTAAAACAACATACCCACAAACACACACACAAACACAGAGAGAGAACAAACAAACAATACCCAAGTGTCTTGGAAAATGTAAAATTAAGCCTTAAAAAAATATAACAAGGTAAATATGAGTCTCACACTTAAAACAAGCAGAAGGAACAAAACTTGTGCTATTTTCCCTGTGGCCTTGGGAGCAGACGTTGTGGAAGGTCAGAGCACAACAAGGACTGTCTAGTGATGCACCCTCTTGTCCCGTCTTGGGCAAGGACAGTGCTGCCCTGAGCCCTCCCTGGACCGATCAGGCCTGCAGGCTGTGCCAGGCTGTATGCTTGACCACGAGGCATCAGACCGAACCAAATGTGTGGCTACACAAAGCAGGCCTTGTTTGGAAAAGAAGAGACTGAGAATAGATTCGGCTATTCTCTCCTCACCTTCTTGGGGCCAGGGAAACTGCTAAAAGCATCAACGCAGGATGTGAGTGCACAGCTGGGATGACAAAGCCCCAGTGATTTTTCAAGGTCTCTGGAAATGCACCCAGGCATGAATAACACAAGCACTGCCTTTGCAAAGCCTGCTTTTCCAGGGGCCTCAAGACCTCTGGTCACTCGGAGGTGGAACTGATACACATGCACACAGCAGTGGGTTTGGTTTTCTGGTTTCCAAACTCAACCCTGTGTAATTGGAAATGGCAGTGACTCAATAACCAGTGATGGTGCATGACTTCATTTTGCAGAGAAACATTTTTAAACACCTTCACGTGAGAAGGATGGGGTTTTTCTCTGTCTTCTTATGCTGTCAACCTCCAAAGGTAGTTTTCCTGGCAACTCAGGCAGAGGCTGTCAGGAGGAGGAAGTGGGAGCCTCCAATCCAAGAGGATTCTGCCTGCAAACCCGGAAGCCACTACAAAGAGGGGAAACAAATCCATCTTACCTTCCTGGTTACAGCTGGATCCAGATAGCCTTTGAGCTTTTGGATATACGTGTGGGGAGGATTCTTCACCTGGAATCGTTCCTGAAGGGAACACAAAATGAAGAGTGTAAGAGTTGTGAAATCAAAACACAACCAGGTGCATTTAAACCAATGCTGCATACAGAGAGCCCAAATCCATCCACAGAGAGAATATGACCCTGTGCACTGTCATGTAGATACTACTGTTAAGTGCTGAATCCTTACAAGAGATGTTGCTACAAGTGCAACAATGAATGAATTGAAATCCAAAATCTCTGTAAATGTTCACTGAAATTAATTTAAAAAAAAAAAAAGAGCAAACTGGGGGTGGGGAGGTGGGCGGGGAGAAAAGTGCAACAATGAATGAATGAAAATCCAAAATCTCTGTAAATGTTCATTGAAATTAATAAAAAAAAGAAAAACAAACAACAACCAAAAAAAAAAAAACCCCCAAGAGATGTTGCTAACCATACTTCTCACAGCCGACAACTAAGAGTTAAGGCTATCCTGGACTTCCCTAATATAACTCAGCTAGTCCATACAAGTGGATTAGAACCCACTTCTGCCCAGCTCCAGAGCTTACTTTTCTCTAGAAGGCACTGCAGTTCTCGTTCTACAAATGATGCTGTGCACCCAACCTATTTTAGGATCTCTTTCCGCAAGTTGTCAATCTGCTGCAAATTATTTTAAATATCGTCAATGTTGGCAAATTGTTCTCTTTTGAATATTCATTTGCTCTTTGAAAATAGCCTTATGTTGTTTTGAGCTAATGTGATTTGGAGTAGATCAAGTTAATTTGTTTCAAAACGAGGAATGAGCATTATTGTGTGTGACAAAAGGATGTGCATCTATGTATGAATATATTTGTGTGTACACACTTGCATACATGTTAATACCAATGGATTCCCAAGGAGCCCTGGTGGCACAGTGGTTAAAGTGTTGGTTAACTAAAAGGTCAGGGGTTCAAACCTACCAGTTACCGTATGTGAGAAAGATGTGGGAGACCACCCATAAAGAATTACAAACTTGGAAATCCCATGGACAGATAGTTATACTCTGGCCTGCAGGGTCACTGTGAATCAAAACCAACTGGACAGAAATGAGTTTCTTTGGGGAGGGAAGGCACTTATCATTTCAACAGTGACATAATAATTGAAGCAAACATAGAATATACATAATATGTAATAAGTAAGTGAAAACCTTGGGTGAGGCTTGAGAATTTGTATTTCTAAACAGTCCCATACTTGATGCTGCTGAGAGAGAGAGACCATTCTTTGAGAAATCTATACACCAAGGTGTGAAGCTGTCCAGAGCATAATCTTGAATGCAAACATGCAGCAGTGAAGCAGTAGAAACAGAAAGCCCACAGACTGGGAAAAAGCATGAGGCAATGCCATCTGAAACAAGAGTCTCATAACGGAAGTTTACAGAATACTACAGAACCTCCACAAGAAAAAGATTGATTACCTGGTAACAAAATGAGCAAATGACACAAAGATTTTTCACAAAGGAAGACATTTGGACAGCCAAGAGACGCAAAGAAATTATCACAATCACGGCAATCAAAGAGACACAATCAAAACAAGGTATCACCTCACTCCAGTACTTGTTGTTGTTTGGCAACTCACAGCGACCACATGTACAAAAGCCCTAAACCCTGCTCTGTCCTGTGCCAACCTCATTGTCTCTGACACACCTACTTTCATTATCCCAATCACTGAATCGATCCATCTCACTGAGGGTCTTCCTCTCCTGCTCTGTCCCTCCACTTTCCCAAACATGATGTACCTCTCCAAGGATTGGTATCTCCTTGCAACATGGCAAAAGTATGTCAGATGAAACTTCAGAATCCTTGACTCCAAGGAGCAGCCCGGCTTCACCCTCTCCAGGAGAAACATGTTTGTCTCCTAACAATCCATGGTATAGTCAATACTTTTCTCCAGCACCACAACTCAAAGGCATCAATTCTCTTTCTATCATCCCTAGTCACTGTCCAACTCTCTGATGCATACATAGCAAGCAAATGTGAAAACTATATCCCTGATCAGGCACACCTTAGTCTCCAGCCTGATGTCGTTGCTGTTCAGTACTCTGGAGAGGTCCTTGACAGCTGATTTTCCCAATGCAATTCCTCTCATAATTTCCTGGCTGCTGGTAACAAGAGTGTTGACTGTGGAGCCAAGCAAACGAAAACTGTTAACTATCTCAATCTCTTCACCATCTATACTGCCAGTTGGCCCAGTGGTGAGAATCTTTGTTTTCTTGATGTAGAGCTTCAATCTATATTGAAGACTGCAATCCTTGACCTTCTGCAGCAAGTGCTTCAGGCGCTCCTCAATTTCAGAAAGCAGGGTTGTGTCATCTGCATAACGCAGGTTGTTAATGAATCTTCCACCAATCCTGATGCCACATTCCTCCTCCTACAGCCCAGCGTCTCGGATGATCTGTTCTGCATATAGATTGAAAAGGTATGGAAACAAAATACATCCTTGACAGACCCCCTTCTTGCTTTTGAACCATGTAGTGTCTCCTTCCTCTGTTCTGACAACTGCCTCTTGGTCCAAGTATAGGTTTTGCGTAAGCACAATCAAATGGATTCCCATTCTTCTCAAAGTCAGCCACAGCTTGTTGTGACCCACAAAGTCAAAAGACTTTGCGTAGTCAATGAAGCACTGACAGACATTCTTCTGGTACTCTGCTTTCTGCCAAGATCCATCTAACATTAGCTATAATATCCCTTGTACCACGGCTTCTTCTAAACCCAGGCTGCACAACAGTTCTCTGCTGACATGTTGCTCTAGTCGTTTTTTGAATGTTCTTGCTTGCATGTGATATTAATGATACTGTTCAATAATTTCCACACCATGTCAGGTCACCTTTCTTTGGAATGAGAACAAATATTGATCTCTTCCAGTGAGTTGGCCAGCTGGCTATCCCCCAGATTTCTAGGCACAACTTGGTGAGCACATCCAGGACAGCATCTGTTTGTTGAAATATGTCAATTGGTATGCTGTCAACTCCTGGAGCCTTGTTTTTTTTCCAATTCTTTCAAAACAACTTGAACTTCCTCCTTCGTCACCATAGGCTCTTAGTCATATGTTATTTCATGAAATTCTTCTGTGTCCGCCAATTCTTTCTGGTACAATGTTGGAGAGGTTGTGCAAATACTAGAGCTCTCATGCACTGCTGATGAGACTGTATAATGGTACAATCATTCTGGAAAGCAGTTTGGCATTCCTCAAAAAGCTGAAACACAGAAATCTCATTATGACTCAACTATTCCACTGCTAGGAATATATAACAAGGAAAACAGAACTGAGACATGAATGGAGATATGTACCCCTACGCTCACGGCAAAATTATTCACAATAACAAATAAATGGTAACAGTCCAATATCTATCAACAAACGAATAAATGGAGAAATTGTGGTAATACAGCAATAAGAAGCAACAGTTTTGCAAAATATAACATAGGAGAAGCTACTATGCTGAGTGAATTAACTCAATCCCATAAGGACAAATACTGAATAAAACCATTAGTGTAAATACAACAAATAACTAATAAGAAGATCTGTAGCACTACTGTAAAAATAGAAAGATAAGTAAAAAGACAAGTATAAATGTCCAGAAGGGGAAGGTGAAGGGAGCAGTGGGAGGAAAACGGGGAAGGAGGGAAATCACTAGGATAGCAGAGCTGGTGGGCAGATGAGAAGCAGAATGAGAAAGATCCAATGGGGACTTGAAAAGATGGGGTAATAACTGGCATAGACCAAGAGTAACTTATTTTACAAAACACAATGTATATGAATGAGAATGAAACACAATGTGACTGAAAGACAGTGTGAAACACAATGAATATGAATGAAACAATATACACATTCAATTCCAAATGCAAATCAATATAAAGTTGTAGGGGGAAAAAAACACAAGTGACTACATGGGCTACTGCAGAAAACTTCTTTAACGTGCTTAAAAGCACGAACCCTGAAGACCTTTAAGACCTGAGGTAAACGTGACCTAAGACATGGTCATTTTCAATTACTTCATAGCCATGTGTAAGTGGGACAACGAATAAAGAAAACCAAAGAATAATTGTTGCCTTTGAATTATGACGCTGGCAAGGAATACTGATCACTCCACAGACTCCAAAAAAGAATAAACAAATCTGTTCTACCAAATGTTGTATCCTCAGACCAATTTCTAAACATGAAAAGTGCAGCCAGAATACTCCTTGGAAGCAAGGACAAGGAAATTTTTGTCTCACTAACTTTGGGCATGATAGTGGGGGTGTCCAGTTCTTAGAGAAGGACATCAAGCTTGGTAACATACAGGCAACAAATAAAGACCAATTCAATGAGAGTGCAGTGGCTGTAACAATGAGCTCAAACATACCAAAGCTTACGAGGATGGTAGAATACTGGACAGTGCTTTGCTGTGTTGTACACAGAACAAAAGTTCTATGAGTTTGAACAAACTCAGAGGACCTAACAACAATAGGCTTCCAAGATTTTTCTCTATATATGCTATAGGTACCCTACATACACAAAGAAAGCTCAGTTTTAAGTTTTTCAAAAAGACAATTCTAAAAGGAAAAAGATTGTTCAAAGAATGAGGATAATCCTTATCAAGTTCTTTTTTTTTTTTTTCAAGTTCTTTTCTTACAACCCAACAGGTATTTTTCTATAATTCTTTTTAATCTGCTAAGTGTTATCTCCACAGGGAATTTCTTGCTATTACACAACTACTGAGAATAGGCCAGTATGCTTAAGCACTTTTGACTTTTATTTACTTATTAAACATATTTTCCCCCACACTTTCCTTCATTATGTTTCACACAGTCATTCCCAAACATTGTGTTTTATAAAATTGGACTGTGCCTACCATTACTTGGTCTCGTCAGGTTCCTGCAGGATCTTTCCCATTTCCTTTATCCCCTCCATCCATCCACCGAACTTTGCAACTCTGTGATTTGGCCCCTAGAGATCCTTACCCCTCTGCTCCCACCCCCTCCTCCCTTGGATATCCATATGTGTTTTACTACTTTTTGTTTTTACAATAATGGA